TACTCCATTTCTCTCAGTCTACAGAAAGACAGCAATAAAATTAAGCATCTAAATAAACTGCTTAAGATGATCATAAGTAACAACACACTGGAGATGAACACAGTCTTGGAACTCTGCACAAGCAGAGCAAACCGAGTCCTTCGGTTTCTGCACACTTGCCAAATGTGTCGCTTTTTCTCTGCTGTAATAACAGTCTTGCATGAGGGAGCACTTACCCCAACTCTGGAACAGAAATATATTGAAATAAGTTAAAAATCTACAGCTTCACAGAGCAAACACAAAATCATCCAAAGGAAAAGCCTGATCAAGTAGTAACACCACTACAAAAACCTGTTATATCAAACAAAGAGAAAAATGGAAGAAATTAGACCAATATGTATCATTTCATTCCCTTCACTAGCTAGGAACAAAGATGCAATCAAAAAAGGCCTTTACATACTAAAACACAGTGCATGAAAACCAGATCAGCATAAAGAATTACACAAGTTATTCTCTCATTTGCACTTAAAGCTAGAAAATAAGCTGTCCTTTCAGGCTACTAAAGTGTAGCTGAATGTGACATGCGTGTGCCCCACTGCTTAAAAGAACAAAGTGCACTTATATCCTACCTGATCAGTATTAAACAGAGCAGAGGCCATGGACTCTTGCTGAAGTGGAAGCAAAGGAACAGACTCTTCACTTTCCTCAGACATAGTTAAAAGTGAAAACTCTGAAGCTAAAAAGTCAGTAACACCTGTTGTAACACCGTAAGCAAATGTAAGTTACGAACTACGCGCTTTCAGGTGAATAAACAATATCAAAAGCAAATGATAGTGTTTCTTACCCTATCAGGAAAATAGTTAATAGCAAACCCAGACCAATGCCCCTGAACCAAGAGATAAAAACTTAGCATATTTGATAAGAAGTTTTTAGCTATTAAATCCAGATTTATCCATTGAGGCAGACCACCATGCCTGACAGTGGGCATGGACTTCATAAGTTCCCATACACCACTGATGTTAAAAGGTCATTATGCAGTGGCAGATATTGAAGATTGGGTTGAACTCTTAGTGTGTGACTAGAAGAAGAGATAGCAAATTACAGCACTTAGGGATTTCACATGCTGACTTGTTAGCCACAGAAGCTAGTATACTTCAGCAGGAAAGGACTTTTGTAGGTATGTACAAAAACAAAATAGATGTGTAAGGGGGAGAAACATCATTATAACTTAGTATCAAAACTACAGTTACTTAAACTTGGAAAGAAAAGGCACAAGTAGCAGTTATTCATCAGCACAGTCTGTTAGTGAGAAGAACATAGAACCCTTTGCTGGTAAGGAGCACCACCAAGTTATCTGTAAGGATAGTGAGCCCACAGCTTATTACTGAGCTCTGCCTTTTTAATCTGGCAGAAGTTTTCAATAATGATTAATCTCTCACCTGTCCAAGAGGAAAAGAAATCTTTTTCATTTCCTCTGAAGTAAAATGAGAAGGGACGCAGTAGGAAAGTTCCCACTTTTCTAATTTTTCACATGCTTTATATTTTTATTGGTATAGCATGATGAAGCTAAAAATCTGAGGATTTTTCAAAATTCTATTTAAACTGCCGATTGTACAGAAGACTTGAAGCAGGAATCAGAACACTTTCTTGAACTACTGCTATAGAGACATTTACAAGTGGCCCAGCCTCACAAAAGCATTTCCATGCCACAAGGAAACCTGATATTCAAGAGCTATAGCAGGAACAAAGAACGGTGTGACAAGTCTAAGAGCCTGGGGCACCACACCCAAGTAGATAATCTAAACCTGATTTTTCCAAAATACATATGGTACAATGGTATAGTTTTAGCAACAACTATGTGCTTAGATATTTCAAAGCAATCATATAAAACTTCAGGTTTTGAGTTCCTTCACCCTCAAAACCTCAAGAACCAGGAGAGCACCTTGAAAATTATTCACAAGTAAGACAAGACAGAGCTGTTCTTCCTGCAGAGGAACAGTCCTCCAGCAATGGCAGTAATAAAACCCAGGCTTCAACCTCCACTTAGACTAAAATTAACTCTGTGACTGAGAAACCTGTGAACCAAGCAGACCACAGCCAGGCAGATCATGAGAGCTCACTAAATACTGTAAATGTCAGTGTTTGATACCAGAGTGTCTGACCCTTTTTTTTTTCCCCTTGATGGCTTGGTCACTCCAACACCACTTTAAACTGGGGGAGGTCTTATTTGTACATAAAAATGAGTTTAGAACATCATATATTTTGCAGCATATTTCTTTTGGCACTGCTTATCACCACAACAGTTCAGAAAGAAAAAATGAATCCCAACAAACTATTTATCCCCATTTAACTGCTAGCAGGTACTAAAATTGTTTGTTACATACGGTGTTGCTGAGGTGGGTATCAGGGAAGTTTTCTGTCAGCTGCCCATGCTGAAACTGGGGTAAATGTGCAGACAGCTCTGTCATTGGGACAGTCCTCTGGGAATCACTTATTTCCACACAAAATGGACCTTTCTTCTTGAGATGCTGAAAAGAAAGAGATGTGTAAAAAACCTTTGTTCTTAACATGAACAGGTTTCCCTCCCCTCCCTACTCCAGTTTCTGGAGTTCACATATACCAAAGACAACCATTCTGTATTTAATCATGATATCAAACTATCACATCTACTAAGAGGTCATAATAGGGATTTTCCAGCACTAAAATAAGGGCCTCTTAAGTGTTATCAAATTAGTTCATCAGCTACAGAAATCAGTCAGCAACAAACTAATAATTTAAACAGTTTTTCATTCCTTCTTGTGCAATAAAAGAGGAGCATTGCATACTTGCTCAGAGCACAACTTCCATGTTTTATCTCAGCAGAGCACAATTGTTCCAAGTTGTTCTGTTTTGGACTACTGATAAATTTAACAGTAATTTTCAAGGATGACTGAGTTACACTTAACTATTTAAAATATAGACAAATCTTTAATACTGTTATGCTACAAAAGTGACCTGGTGCTACACAAGACAGTATTTCAGCTGAGCCTCAAGAACTAACATGCATTCAGTTCCATTTATGTACCAGCTACATCTACATGCCACATGTATGTAACAGCTTTCTATGTTCTTCCACAAGAAAGTTAGATAAGAAAATTGTCCTGTGTGAACTGTATGTTGCATAACAAAAGAGGATACAGCAATATAGGGGAAAGAGGAAGTCTGACTGACCTAACTAAATTTCAGGAAAGAGCTCAATGTTTTTAAGAGAAAATGAGCAGGCCTAGATAAATCACAGGCTTGGCAACATAAAAAATAAATAATCAATACACCTCAAGGGTGGAGTGCCAGTCCATCCCAAGTGGCTCCTACCTTGTGTGAATTTCAGCACTCACCAGAACTCTACACAGTAATTTTACTCACTAAAATGGAAGGAAACAAACCCAGGGAAAGAAAACAAATATTTTTCTGCTGCTTTAGTATACTCAGCTAATGTATTGAGAGATCTTGAAAAACTCTTACAACAGAGGACATCACAAAGCAAAGCCTCTCACTTTTGGCAGCAGCAAGACACAAGCACTGCAAGACAGCATTGTATTTAAAGAGAGAGCTAAGCCTATTTTCATAAACAGACCAGAAGCTGTTTATTTATGAATAAATATGTACCTAGCAAGACCAGGGCACAGTGCTTACTAACTTTGGGGGCTAACTTAGTGAAGAGCCAATAGGAAGACACACCAATTTAACAAGTCTGCTGGGAGCAAGCAAATTGTTTGGAAAAAGAAAGTGTAGTACTCACTAGAATAACTCCCTTCCACATCTGCCATTAAAAAAAAGGCACATCTAACTTAAAATATAACTTAAATGTAGGATCAGATGAAAATAAATATTAATTACACTGCTCCTACTTTTAAAATTTTACTCTAATTCTTTGGTTGGGCTACAGAATAAAAACAATGTTGTTTCAAGGCTGCTACTGGTAGTAATTATCAGGGACAAGGCAACCACAATGGAAAAAAATGAAAACTTTCAACCAGATGTCAACTATCAGAATGAGATTTTTCACACAGCAGCATGTTAAAATTCTAATTAAATTACTGGAGAGAAAACCAATTGAAACACCAACCACAAAATCCGGCTTATAGACTGGTAAAGAAAGCCAGCACAAATCCAGCAAACAAAAAACCCTCAGCGACTGACGAGCAGAGAGAATCAGAAGACAGGGAGGAGTAACTAATAGAGTTGCACCAAAGTCTGAATGACGGACCTCAAAATTTATGGTTTGTTAAAACAGTTTCTTTTGAAAATGGATTCAGGACATCTTCCCAAACAACTTTATTTTATATTTCTAAATAAATGAAATTTTTATTTGAAACGTAACTATGAATGAATGAAATTTATAAATGAACTGTGTATATACAGACACAAACTAAAACTTTGCTTGTTTTACCTGGAAAGGGACTCACCAAGACATTTTTTTTCTAATGAAGCTGTTAATGTTAAAATAGCCTGTCTAAAAAAGTTCTTCCTTGCTTCCTTTGGCTTTCCTAGGTCAGAACAACAGGAGTTACAACTGTCGCTGTCATGTGCTTACATTTAGCCTAATAAACAGAGGTGGCACGCCAAGTAAGCTGCTCGCAGAAGAGAAAGCAAAGCAAGTATCGATCAGACAAACGCGGCGCGGCTAACCCGTGCTTTCTCCCTCCAGCGAGCAGCAAGAAGCAGCTGCCAGCGCTATGGGGGCACCCCCGCCACCCGGCCTCAGCCCTGCCTCGGGCCGGAGCAGCCTCGCCGCAGACAGCGCTCCCAGCCCCTCGGAGGCCTCCGCGCCGCTGAGGGTGCGGGTCAGGCCCCGGCCCGACCCCGCTCGGTGTCAGCAGCTGCCCAGGCCCGGCGCTCCGGGCAGCGACACGGACCCTCCCCGGCCCGTGGGCGTGTGCCGCAGGGCTCGCCCGAACACCGGGCCCGGCCGTCCCCGGCGGNCGCTCGCTTCCGGCCCGCGCCCCGCCCTCCGCCGCCACCTCACTTCCGACGGGCGGCCAGGAGCGGCCCCGGCCCGGCGCGGGAGCTGCGGCCGAGCCCGCACGGGGCAGCGCCCCCGAAGAACACGCTGCGAGCTGTGCCTGCAAGGGCCGGGAACCAAGACACGCGGGTGGGACCTGAAGAAAGGCAGCGCTTGGGAGAGGCTGGCTGGACAGCAGTGAACAGTCGCTCAGTCCAGCCGCCAGGAATCGTGCAAAGGAAATGCAGCTTGACCTTTTTAACCTGGTGCCAGGTAAAGAGAGGTTTTATGAGAAAATACACTTCTCGGCTCTTTTGAATACAAGTTATACATATGCCAGTAACCCTGTTTTAAAATGGTCCCAAAAAACGGCATTAAGAAAGTAACTTAAAGGGACATTTATATTTCAAAGTAAAAACAGTATTAAAAGTCAACATGGTATTTTTCAAGAAGCCTCTAAGTAGACCTGTGACTGGTTAGTCGAAAAACCGATAGTTACTTCTAAATTTGAAACTTACCTTGCTATCCATATTTGAAATATCATCCAGAATTCCTTTTCAAGTGCATAATCAATTGGGTTAGTAACATATAGCAAATGCTATGATAGATATAACCACTCTGAATACAAAAAATGTAATGAGGGGCCATGCAATTCTGCATGTTTAAAACAATGTTGTATTCTAGTATTTGACTACACTACAGAAAAATCTATGGTAAAATTAGGTGGGAGAGAACTATTGCACCTAAAAGGTTTGATGTAAGCATTGCTATGCAAATACTGACTTCCAGTAGCTCACAGAAATATGAAATGCATTTGAGAAGCCGTTTTTAGACTGAAAGTGATGTCTAACCATTAATCAAATAAAACTACTTGTAATTTAAAAGGGAGAAACAGCCAAACAAAAAAGTCAACCAACCAAACACGGGCATACAGCTGTCCCAAACTCTTTTCTATTATCAGTATCAGTTTGATCTATGACAAAATGTCTATTAAACAGTACCTTATATTGTTCGCACTGCATGACTGTGTACTAATTTTTAATTCTGTACTCAATGTTCCTGCACCAGATAATGTACAGAATATGAAAAAGCATGACTCAGTTGTCATATAAAACCCAACAATTTGCAGTTTTCAGTGTATCCACTTTCCAAAATACTACTCCTGCAAGCAGCTATCAAGCAACCCTGTTTAGTAAGAACATGAACGGTCTAATTCCCTCTCAGTAACAGGAAAGCATTGGTAGTAAGACAGAGGAATTCCGTAAGAAGCTAAACTCCCTGTTTAGGGCCTTTCCCCTGCCCACATTTAGAGCCATGACTATCTAGCTAGATCATTTTTAGTACAGGTTCCTGCCTAAAGAGAATGAAGGAAACAGCTAAGATTAGAAGACCCAATCAGCAGGTGAGCAGGTTAAATACTCTTAAGAACAAAATAAGACTCTCACCAATTTAAAAGATAATATAAAAAATATATATTTCTTGGTAATGGATCTTACTTGCTCCTTGTTTCCCATTTCTTTTCAGTGCATATTAATGAAGAAAAATGATACTTTAGATTTTGTATTGACATATTCCAAACACTGACTGGCAGTTACACAAAATGATTATAAGGAGAATAAGAGCATGTGTTATGTCAAGTTTTAAAGCCTTATTCCACTGTAAGGTCCAGATGAACAAGTACATCCAGTTGTGTAATTACTCGTATTTTTTCATTACACAGTGTGTGGAACTTTTGGAGTAACTTTCCCTCACAGTATGGGTTGTACTATGGCCTGATGCACTGAGTACCTGGTGGCAACATCTGTACTTTACTCACGTAGCACATTCTGAGCACACTCTTGATCTGTGTCTAACATAACAAAGAGTGTGTATTAAATCATACATCCAGACAGTGAAGTTGGTAATATTGGCAAAAAAGGCTTTTTCTACCCCAGATTTCTCAAATTTACCTTGAAATAATTCTGTTAGTGCATGTTGAAAGTTAACAAATGGAAGTTACTTTCTATTACTAAGAACATCAGCAGTACATAACTTGTGTTATACTCCCCAGCATCACTGACACAAAATACAGTATCACTGAGACATAATAACAAAACTTTCAGTAAGAGGTAAAAGTGACTTTATACTTGCATTCTGAAAGAGGAAAAGCTGATAAGCCAAACCAGAGTTCATCTAGTGAACATCCCTTTCTTCTTCCACTACTGAAAAAAACCTGAACTTCCACAAAACTGATTTTTTTATATCACAATGATTCTTTATACTTATTTACCTAGATATTTAACACTCCAGCTTACAGTTTACATGTCTTTCTCATCCCAGCACATTCAGTCTCCAAGCTTATATCCACTGCACACACAGCTTTACTTTAGGGCAGAAATAAACTGAAGTTTCACAACCTGAGCTTTCTCTGAAGAATCCGGATGAGGATGTTGGGCAATCTGTCACACATTGGCATTACAACGTGTTTGTCACATTTGTCTTGTTTAACTACTACTCATGAGAGAGGATGTCATTTACCAGGTCAAAAGGCACTCGTGAAGTTCACTCTCCCTCTTCTCTGTATTTGCTACAAACAGAGCAAGCTTTGAATTTATTTAGAATTTAAAAACTTTTTGATGATGATGCAGAACTCTATAGGGAGAACAGAGAAGTAATTTCTTAGGGTTGCAACCATCAAGTTGCAGAAAAAAAATGGAACGACTGCAACATGTAAGCATGCAAACCAAAACATTCTCAGGCAAACTCAAGCACAACATGAAAGTAACATCTGAGCATGACAAAGTTAAAAAAAGAACATTTGGTGATGTGTAGTGTAGCATCACAGGGATGAGAAAGAACATACTGGGATCACATCTAAATTTGCAGGATTCCATTAACCTGATATAAGCAGGAGGTAGTTTTAAACACCCCCCACCCCCTTAATTTGGGAACACTTGATTCAGTAAGCAGTGTTAAATACAATTGCATGCTGCATAAGACTCCAAAAGAATATCAACCCTTAAATCAAATATATACATTTTTAATATCTGAAATATTTACATGGTGGAACCTATACACGATCCCAATTGTTAAGAACAGTGTTTTCAAGTGTCCTCTCCAGATACAAACAACTAGTAACTCAAGGTCACAGTTATGTTTGCTGAACAGGTCAACCTGTATCCTTCAGTTAAATACAATACAGAGATACTGGAACACCTTTACTTAATTTGTTTGATATTAAGAATTTTGTTTCAAAAATTAAAAATAACTTTGAGACCGTTTGCTCCCTGGAACACAGTCCTCCTGCAATCAAAACAGCTCACAGCACATTATAGATTTGACTTCTTACCCAGGTATGAGATAAAAAAAATGCAGTTTACAGTACATGTCATCATTTATACCATATCAGTCTATTTATAAAAAAAACATACAAACAAGGCAGGAAAATATTACCCTCTTTTTGTGGACAACAGACTGCATACAGTAGAAAACAAAAGTCAGGGCTTGTTTAACAGTACGGATAAAAACAAGATTTCAGCTTTGTTTGACAACTTATGTTTTAGTTTACATGGTTGTTTTTTTGGTTTTTGTTAAGAGACAGTTACCTCCAAATAGAGCTTTTTGTTTTGTCTAAATACTAAAAAGAAAAGTTTTAAAAAATAGTTTCTTCTTAAAAAAGCCATCTGATTATTTTGGAGACAGACAGGATAGTAGGTAGGGCTAGAATTAAATTGAGCAGAAGAAAAAACCAAAAACCATTAGACAGCACTTACTGAATTTAGGTCCTGCTCTTGTTTTAACTGAGCAAATAAAAAACTTCCTGTGATTTGCACTTTCTGGGAAAGAAGCAGAGCATCTACAAGAGATTAGGTTCCCAGCTTCATTAGTAACTCTTAATGGGCAACAAAGTACCAAGATTACTACTGGTTCACATTAGAAAGAGAAGTCTGAAGGAACTCCTTTTCCAGTCAGATGAAGAGATCAAATGAACACACAAAGCTGTTCTGTGAAAACAGCTCAATATGCTTATTTTTAAATTGTATTTTGATCATTTCTTAAATAAAAAAGGGGAAGTATGCTCCCAAAAAAAGACTGATAAACTTGCAGTAAAATCCTTTGTCTTCATCTGTAACTGATATAGTTCCACATTAAGTGCAAATGTTTTGCAAAACAAGGGATTTTTTTTTTCTTAATATTTACAAGAATCAGAGTAACATAACAAAATTACCAAAGAGCATGTACAGTAGCTGCAGCTTATAAAACATACCGGTAATTGTACCTCATGTATTATAAAGAGAACCAATGCAGGATTTGATAACTAACTGAGAAGGGTAAAAGGGGCCTCAGAGCAGAGGACAAAAAAATTCACATTTTCTACATAAAAAAATACAGGTCTCAAGTCTCTGAGAACAGAGAGAATTCGAAGTCTCTGAACAATGGGGGGGAAAAAAAAAGCCCAAAATTGAAATGGAACCCTAGAAGCAAGGAGAGTGCTTTATTTCACTAGGCCAATCTTCTTTGCTTCTGTCTCGTATATCAACAACCTCCACATTTTGACTATGAAAACTTCAGCTTCTTCATCTAGTACCTGTAGGAAATACACATTTTATAGATTATTTTTTAGGTTATGCATTCCAGTTATAAAGATATCTATAATTGTAGATACATCAGAAAAAAGAGATACAGTGTAATACAAGTCCTTGAGAGAGGGACCAAATGAAACTCTGGCAAGTTTGTCTGTCCAGCAACAGTGACTTGACCAAGCTCTAACTACTTATATAGTGCAGCTGTTGAGCACCTATAGGTAGAAGCATCAGTAAACTAGTATCTATTTACTAAACTAGTAAAAAAATTGGTTTGGGAAGAGGCAGAGAAATGGCAAGCTTGGAAACAATTTAAGAACAGGACATGCACATGTGGTCTCTTCCCTTAAATTAACTCCTAATCTCTGCTCATTTTCATTTGGAACTTCCTTGGATATTTGTTAAATAAACCCTCACTGGATTTCTCTTCCCTGAGCTTATTATCTAGGCTTTTCTTGAATCTGTACAAACTTAGTATGCACAGCATCTCTCCAAAGTCACACCAAAAACATTCTACTATCTTGTACTATGCATGTGGCTTCTATCAACTTTGCCTCCAAGCTTCCTTAAAGGAAGGAGTGAATTAGTTTTTATTCATCTTTTGGTGTATGAAAACATGGTGGAAGAGTAGCATTATTACACTCTGTTTCTCTCTTCCAACACTAGGCAAAAAAGAGCTTTTATTCTTCTACGGAAAAACACCTCTTGCTC